TAGCGTAATGTGTTAATGTGTCGTTCCTCTCCATATGATCTGAGGAATTAGCTAGCTAGCCGTCCTGCTCGACTAAAGCAAATGTTGTTGGAAGGGAATAGGTGCGACTCTCGCTCACAATTAAAAACATGTTTAATTAGCTTTTGTATTTTGTTTTCAAAACATTATGTTTCAGACGTCAATGACCTTCATTAGTTGTTGTTGGATGTGGAAGATGCAGACGAGTGACATTAGATAACTCCCCGATCATCACTAACTCTAAAGATGAGCTCAAGGGGAGATGATGTGGGGGTCCGAGGGGATGCGACTCTTCACGGTGCATCAATCCAATGGTTCCTGTAAGCTGGTTGGCATAGTGAAAACCCTGGCTTTTCTTCTTAGTTTATTGGGCCGAACCGTCCTGATAATATTTTATGGACCCTGGAGGCAGGCTCTCTGTGACTGTAAAAGATCGGTTTAACGAGGGAGAGGGCCAACAGTCACAGTTGAGAAATAAAGCTTCCCCCAACATAAAAAGAAACATCAATAATGTATCTTTCATCTCTCTGTGTTCCATAATTTTCCTTCAATTCGCAAGAGACTGAATTTACTGTATCTCACCGGAGAAAGCATCCTAGCGAGCGAAACAGCGCCCCCTTTTCTCTGTATGTGTAGCGTATCTATCTGATGCTGTCTGGTAAGAAATAATATGATATTGTTGCTGTCCGTAGCATTGAATGCAAGGGAAGCCAGTGAGCATTTGGCCTCCCTTGATAAAAACATTATTAAATAATAGCCAATCAGCGTTGAGCTAAACTGAGCGAGCACAACTGTGAATGGTCCTGATGCACCCAAAAAAAGTGTCAATGGAAGCCAGTTTGGATTTGGCTTCACACCAATCACATCACGACAAAAGCCAAACGACATTGACAGAAAAATACGTTATTTGTTGCATCTCGTTGTGTTGTTCACCTTCGGTGTCAAGCTAGCTAGCTAAAATTGGGCCCTTTCCTAAATTAGCCATGGATGGAGATAGGGATTTGGTTTTACTTAATTCTCCGTACTGGCCAATGATTATAAAGGCGATTATGATCCAACCATAAATTCATACATTGTGTGTGCCCCTGGCCTGAAAGGATGGAAGTTCAATATGTAGCTAGATGTAGTAGGCTAATGTTAACTAGCTGGCTCATCATTGCCCCTGAAAGGAAGTTAGGCTAGCGAGCAAGCATTTTAGCCAGGACAACAAAAACTAAACGTGTGTAGCCTACCGGATAACAGTCATAGACCGTTTCGGCGACATGAAAGAGAGGAGGATGGCATTGGCGTTTCTCTACAAGTAGGGTGAGTCAACATGTTTTTTCTACTTGTACACACACACACAGAAATCAGTACCATGGACAGCCACATCCTATTTAGTTTACGTTGATTGGACTAAATCGTTTTTGGTATCTTTTAATTGTCACTGTATTATACTAAGCATAGGTGATTTGATGATGTGGAAGTTGGAAATGGTGCTGGAATAGTGGAGGCATCTCCTGTTTTCTTTGCGATAGTTGCTTAGTAGTCCAAAAATGTCTGAAACATTAACTTGATTGTCCATGCTGTAGGTCTTGTAACTGTTTCTTACTTGCAATATGCTTTGTGGACAGATGTTGCTCTCCGGTTTTGTGATGAAACAAAGGTGTTGTTAAATTTACTCTGCCCCTTTGTCTTCTTATTGTCTCGGCCTTTAGGCCTATATATCACGGTGGCAAGGCATATGAACTATCCGGTTATAGAGCTCACAACACATAAGTTGTAATATGGCATTTTTTTCTTGGCTTGGCTTCCCCAGTGATTTTACCCACGCACCGCTACTGCTTTTCAAAGCACTCACTGATTATGGTATTTCTGGAGATAAAGTTGTCTGTAATGATAGAAAACTTTGGATTGTCCATGCAATGAGGATGTTCCAGTCACCGAAGCATAATGTGACAATTTTTGCATATCCCTTTTTTTCTATGCAGCCCCTGTCAACCATTGTAGAGGAATATACACCTACTGTCTCTATGGCAACCACTCTGATTTGGCTGGAGAGGAGATGGCTGGTGCACAGAGCTCTTGAACGAAGGCCAACCCATACCTCCACACCTGGGAAATACATTGACTCCTATCATACATTTCCAGATGTGAGTTACTATTTGAGAGACTTGTGATCTCTCATTGGACCGTCCACCAATCAAAAGCTGGCTATCCCAGTATAAACCAATTGCGTGAGTGAGATGCATGATTCGAATAATGTGCGTATGGCTGTGAATGTATCTGATCTAAGTATATAATGCATGTGGGTGTGATTGTGAATGATCAGTGATCTATGTGAACGGAATTGCCTCGACCCCCTGTTGTGATGAGTGTGACTGTGCAGGTAGGTTCTGGGATCTCTGCTCTGCTGTGGGCTAAGACTGTGTTATAGGGTAAATGGGATAATCTGGGTTTACAGGGCTGGGTGGCTGCAGTGACGCAGGGCTTTGCACTGCCTGATAGATGCCCTGAGAGCTGCCCCGAGAGCTGCCCCACCCCGACCGGCCATGACATGGCACAGCATGTTAGTCCTAATGTGAAATGTTTGGCTTTGGCAGGTTTCTCTCTGATGAGTGAGATGGAGATGAGTGTCTGTTCTCTGTTTCTCTGATGCTAGCTGTCATGCTGTGCTGCACTGTGCCATGGAAGTTCAGTCTGACACTGACATTAGAGTCTGACTAACACTGTGTTGTTGTGTCAGCTGTTTCACTCACACTTCAGCAGAGAGCATTAAGCCCAGGGGGGTATGATGATGGGGGGGAAAAGGGATTGAAGAAAACAGAGACTGCTAATGTCCACAACACACATTCACAACACTAGTTAGCCCAGGCCAGGGGGTATATTGGCCAAGAAGAGAGAAATACATGGTTTCATACAGGGACTAAAGTCACATTGTCAGAACTTCCAGGGCTGGTCACGTCCCCATCACATTCATAAGACCACTGAGCTAATCAGGCCATCCAGAGCCGCTAGGCTAAAGTCCCCTCCACATTGGTAAGACCCCTCCCACAGGAAAAAAGACTACAGTTTACTATAGAATACTAAAGTATTTACTATAGAATTCTATAGTAAACTGTAGTATACTGTAGAATACTATACTACACACTGTAGTATCCCTCAATTATGTGTAGTACTTACAATAGAATGTTGTAGTATACAGTAGAATCCTATAGTAAATACTACAGTATTATCAGTAAAAAAAAAAGCACTGTAGTAAATACTACAGTAATGTCTGCAAAAACACTACACTTTTTAACTATAGTAAATACTACAGTATTTCATTTGTGTATACCCTGCCCATTCCCCACCCCCACATCGCAATTTGTGCCACACATTAGTGAGAAACCTACATGCCAAGTATAGACCATATGTTGTGTTCCCTACAGGTTATAGAAAAGAGCAGAAGCTCTGAACTATCTGTTCAGACCCCAGACCTACCTACCTACCTACCTACCTACCTACAGGTTATGGAAAATGTGCTCTTTCAGTATTTCTCCAGTAGGTTTCCTGAAGGAGAAAGCCTCCACTTCTATGTCAAAGATAATAAAACTAAAACACTATAGTAAAATACTACAGTGACGTCTGCAAAAAACACTACAGTATACTACAGTCCGCAAAAACTCTTCATTAATTACTATAGTATACACTACAGTTTTATTTTACCACAGTATTTATACTATACTTAACTGTAAATACTACAGTATACTACAGTAAATACTACAGCATTCACTGTAGTGTTTTTGCGGACGCAAAACATTACAGTGAATACTACAGTAATGTCTGCAAAACACTACAGTGAATACTATAGTATTTTTTCATGTGGGCTGGGATCAGATATGGCTTAACCAGGCACGAAATCAGGCCACAATTTATACTGTTTGATAGAAACAACCATAGGGTCGGAGGTTAGGGACAATAGTTAGGAAAGAGAGAGTTCTTTAGAGGTGAGAGTTTGGGGGCCTGGTTTAGGAAATAGCATTAGGGAAACCATAATTGTGTTGGTCCTGTGTGGTTCTAGGAACACCAAGGTCATGGGTTCAATTCATGCAGGGATCACATACTAAAAATGTATGCACTCATTGTACTGCAAGTCGCCTTGGAGAAAACATTTGCTATAAGTGGCATATGTATATGATGTTTCCTCAACACAGCAAGTAAATATCAGTATAGGAAAACTGGAACTCCCTAAAATAGACAAACTGTAGGAAGTGTCATATTCTACATTATGACTCACAATATGTTGTTGCTGGATATTCTTCAAATGGCTCATAGATTTGGTTAGGAATGTGCTCTTTGTCCTCTTTCCCATAGAGGGCGGTATGGCAACGTAAACTCAAAGTAGGCTTTTGCTTCACAATTTCTGTGTGGTCAATGAAATACTGCAGGTCAAAATAACAACTCTTTATAGTGAAAGCCTTACATCTCTTAGAAATTACGACTTAAAATAATGCGATTTCAACTCAAAGGAGGACACATTAGGTTATTACATTTTCCTAATGTTTTTCAATGAACTGTGCCTGCATTTCATAAGAGAATATACAAAACTGTACTTTTATTTGTGTATATAAATTATGACTATCAAAATGGTCACGGCTGTAGTAACATAACATAGCAAGCGCTGGGCCAATTGTGCGCCGTCCTATGGGGCTCCCGTTCACCGCCAGTTGGGATCAAACCCCAGGCTGTAGATGTCTCTCTAATTTATCTTCGTTCAAATGATAAGAAAGAGGCGTTGTACATATCATGTGACATTCGTAAAACTGTACCTGCCTTTCAGCGAGAAGCGACGCCCACAAACCAAGCACAATGGATAGGTAACGGTTAACTTTGATGGAAAACTAAAGTTGCCAAACTAAAGCAAGTTAAACAAACTACATCCTTTTCACGTGACAAGTTACATGGAAGGCCTTGAGAATGTATTGGAGACGAAAAGGGAACCAAATATTTAGGAGTTGCGCGTCACAATCCACAGGATTCCACAGAGGGCTGATCACCGCAGAACTTGCAAGGTGTGTATTTATGCAAATTCTAAAAAATCATAGGCGTGCTTTTAGGCGATGGAGTCACAGCCCGAACTCAGAACTCCTGGTATACCAACGAGCTGCAAAGACGGTGATGCGCACAGCTCGGACGTACTGAGGAACAACCGGATGAGGAAACGTTTTCACGCTCTATAAAGAAAGGACACAGAAAGGAAAAGGCAGAAGTGACGACTATCCTTGAGAGAATATCTTATTTACTGTCCTCCCTCATCTCACGACAAAAGACGTGCGAGTCAACCAGAGTTAGCAGTTGTGTAATTTATTTACGTGCGCACTGAGTAGCCTAGCCTATTTGCCTTGATTTTGATTTATGTTACAATATAGAGGAGGTACTGCACTCTGACTGAAGATACCGACGTGGATGAAGTTGACATTGCCCCTCTATAGCCTACTGTCACAGCGCGTAAAATCCACATTTGGATACGGTCCTGTCTCTAAAGAAACTTTGTAGTCAATTGCCGTTACATTTTCTCCACAATGTCTGAAGAAGATAATAGTTGCACTGGTGCTGGTCCTATAACTGAGGTTGAAAACAGCAATATCAGCGTTCTCGGCTGGGAACAAGTGCAGCGCCTTGATGCCATCCTGACGGAGACCATCCCCATCCACGGCCGGGGAAACTTCCCCACTTTGGAGATGAAACCCCGACAAATAGTGAAAGTGGTGCGTAGTCGCATGGAGGAGAGGAATATCCACGTCCGGGACGTGCGGTTAAACGGGTCTGCTGCAAGCCACGTTCTTCATGAGGATAGCGGACTGGGCTACAAGGACCTTGACCTAATCTTTTGCGCGGATATGAAAGGTGAAAGTGATTTTCAGATTGTAAAGGATATCGTTTTGGACTGTCTCCTGGATTTCTTACCTGACGGGGTGAATAAGCAGAAAATATCGCCATTGACTTTAAAGGTAGGCTATATTTTCCATGCAACAGTTATTTAAATATATCAAATAGCTATTTAGAAATGGATTTCATTTATGAATATGGCTAATTGCACTTTTGCGAATCTTTGAGATTTCAAAATACAATAAGACAAGTTTACTGATAGTATAATGTTGATTTTATCCAGTTAAGAGGATTGCAGCAAACCCATTTAAAGCAGATCCAGTCTCTTAGGCCACCTACGTTCCATAGATAGGGCACCCCTTATTGTAGTCTACAGAAAGATGCAAAGAAAATATGTGCCAATGTAATTACATTAAAACGTCTTTATATGGAGCTATGCAAGATTACCCGTTCCTGATTTAGTGCATGTATCGGTTTAATTGGATTTAGATTAGGAGTAGGCTACAGTATTTATATCCATGGCAGTTATTCCTTTAAGACCATAGTGGCGCAAAAGCCTTTATACAGTACCTAGACAGTATATTTTTTATCCATTGACAGTTATTCCTTTTAACTGAGCAAATGGCCTTTACAGTATTTTTATCCATTGACAACTGGAGCTAAAGGTTTATTTTCCCTGTGTGTATCTGTCTGACAGGAAGCCTATGTGCAGAAGATGGTGAAGGTGTGCAATGATTCAGACCGCTGGAGCCTCATCTCCCTCTCCAATAACAGAGGCAAGAACGTGGAGCTCAAGTTTGTAGACTCTCTGAGGCGGCAGTTTGAGTTCAGCGTGGACTCCTTCCAGATCAAGCTGGACTCTCTGCTGCTGTTCTATGAATGCTCCGAGAACCCCATGGCCGAGTCCTTCCACCCCACCATCATGGGCGAGAGTGTGTTTGGGGACTTTGGTGCTGCCCTCGACCACCTATGCCAGAAGGTGATCTGCACGCGCAACCCGGAGGAGATCCGGGGCGGCGGCCTGCTCAAGTACTGTCACCTGCTGGTAAGGGGCTTCCATGCCGACTCCGAGACGGAGATGAAGTCCCTGCAGCGTTACATGTGCTCGCGCTTCTTCATCGACTTCTCGGATATCAGCGAACAGCAGCGCAAGCTGGAGTCGTACCTGCAAAACCACTTTGTGGGCCTGGAGGACCGCAAGTATGACTACTTGATGACCCTGCATGGGGTGGTCAACGAGAGTACGGTGTGCCTGATGGGACATGAGAGGCGGCAGACCCTGGGGCTGATCGCCATGCTGGCGGTGCGCGTGCTGGCCGAGCAGAACGTCATCCCAAATGTGGCTAACGTTACCTGCTACTACCAACCAGCCGCCTACGTGGCAGACGGTAACTTCAGTAACTACTACATAGCCCAGGTACAGCCCATGTTCCACTGCCAGCAGCATGCCTACTCCACCTGGCTACACTGCAACTGAGACAGCACAGGGAAAGGAAGGCGTGAGAGAGAGAGAGGGAGGAAGAGTCTGATTAATTCATACGGGCTGAATCACTGGGCTGACTCACTGTCAAGTGTTTTTCAGATGAATGAATGAACGAGAAAAAAGGTATCCCCACGACCCACCGTCCTGTATTGAATTAAAGCCCCAATGTTTTGTTATGCTCTGTTAGAGCGTGATGGGGGGGGGGGAAGAAAATGACAGTTGGGTCTCAGCTCCTGTGAGGTTGGTCTTAAACCAATGGCAGGACAGTTTACTGTGAAAACCTCACCAATGTTCTCCTGCTAGGGAGCGCAATGCCACCCTGTCTGACACCTAACCCAAGCTTGGGAAGTATGGGATGGGTTTGCCCAATACAATGCAAACAACGACGGACAAGAATGGAAGCAGCAATACTTTCATTAACACTGACCCGGATTGACTGACTCTGTTGCGAACTGAAAAGGCTGTTGAATTGAGCGACAGACAGACCATAATGTGTGGCTGCATCAGTATCCTGTGGTGTCCAGCTGTGAGGAGGACGCAGGCCCCTTTACTCTCTGAGGGGGGTGTGGCTTGCACCCTGACGCACGCTGGGCAACGTCCCAGCAACACAGGGGTTGCTAGAGCACCATAAAACTCTCGCTTTATTTCTTGTGTGGTGAGATGTCATCACAAGCTTTGAATGACAAAAAACTACACCTTAACTAGTAATGATTGATATGAACATGAGGTGTTTACAAACCAAAGATTTTTGATTTATTGTTTTTAATACCCAAGTTTGGTGGGGAAGAAAACAAATGTATAATGCTATCTGTATATGTGAACATGTGTTTTAAGTGCCTAACGCCTATCAGTAGTATAGGCAGAGGAATAATGAGCAGCAGGCCATATCGTTTTGTGAATAAACCCAGTCTGATTTTCGTCATGCACACAAGACAATAGCACCCCAGAGGCTTGTGAATGTAACCGTGAAATCCTGATTCAAATCCTGATACACTCAGTGTTGATGTCATATTTTTTGGAAGAAAGCAACATATCCCCTTGCAGTCATAGAGTATAAGTTAATGGGGGAGAGATGGGGTTTTGCTGTACTTTATACAAAGGAGTTTGACAGGTTGATACAAGACCTTGAGTTAACATTTGCTGATATTTTAAACATTCCATCTCCACATAATAATAACAGTACCTCCTCATAGGTGCATTGAAGCCACAGAGGCTAGAGCATTGTTTGCTGTTGCTCTCCCATAGTCATTTTCAGACAAACAAACTCCACAGGAATATTAGTTTGTGCCGTAGTGCATGTACCGAGATGGTTTAATATTGTTTTGTCGTTGTTCATGTTGACAGGGTTGGTGAGCGTTTCAGATATCAGCAATAAGAAAGGCAACATCCTGGAGTTTCAGTTTAATTTGGATGACTGTATATTCAGCTTCACATGATTTAAACTTGACTGTATTTTGTATAGTGGTGCTTCTCTTTTAACCTTTTGTAGCAAGTTCACAGCAGGCTGAGGGAATGAAAAACCTGTCAGAAGAAATAGATAGAAAAAAGAAATACAGAAGAAAAGAGAGACGGAACGGATCGAAAGGCAAACAGAGAGTTGGTGTGTGTTCATGTGTGCCTGAGAGATTTTGGGATGTGATTCATTGCTGCCTAGAGAA